AAATATAACTTGATCCTTTACAGACATAACTGATCTCCTTTTTCCTATTCTTTAGAAACAACGAATTCCACAATGGTGGCTAATAACTGGAAGGATTGCAATCCTATTAAAGTGGATAGTTCTTTAGCACTGACAATTCTGTTTGAAAACGGATCAACTAAATCACCACTCTTCACTTGTGTTGAACAATCGATCCTAATTTTCTGCTTTTAAACGAAGTTTTGTAAATTAAGCAAAGCTCTTCAGCAGCACACAAATCTTCATTATCTGCTTCAGTAGTAGATATATGTTCATTAACTGCAAAAACACATTAAACATAATAATAATAATTAACCAAACATTTTAAATTATGCATACGTACATCCATTGCCTGAAGAAGATAACTCAACACTTAACATTCTACTAGCACTGGCAACATATCATTATTAAAGACAGTAGCCATAATTCTTGTTTTAGCTGGATTACTTTTCTTTTTATTAATAGTCGCTTTCTTTTTACCACTAATCTGAGCTAACTTACATCGACTAAGCTTAGTTGTACGTTCTCTTTGTGATTGTAAGTCAGAATCTTTCTTTCCCCCTTACCGATGCTAAACGGATCTTGACGTCAACTAAGATTGCACTTTGTACCTAGTTCATTTTACTATGATGTTGATCAGATTTCCACTGGTGGAATCTTATTATTATTTATCAAATAATTCACATTCACCGCCAAAATAATCCTTAATTGTCTAAAGGGAACAAACTTTAGAATGTGAAAAAGCTACAAACTTTTGTAAAATCTTTAAAAAGTTCATTCAATTTTTGCATAACATCTGCTTTTATAATGCGAAATAAATTTTAAAAGAATAATCAAGTGTCCGAATAGTGCCACTATACAGTGGTCGTGGTCTAAAGTTAGTTATATACACATTAGTGTAAAATTGTTTATATCTATCTTCAAAATAGGTTAGATCTCTTAAAATGTTTTGAAAATTGGGAAACTAGACATTATGACTCAAAATCCTTTTTTATATTATCTAACGCAAGCTCCTGTCTTGAAATAAACATACAGATAATTTTTTTATTTTTTTTTAATTCAATTCCTATTTTGATGAAATATGAGTTTTAAACTCATTTGGGCCAGACCGATTCTGCCTGGTGAGTACTCGGCAAGCCAAGCAATTTGACCCGCTTTTCGTCGTCTTGTTTATATATGGATGAGCAGTCTATTAATCTATATATGTCATTGTTATTAGCTGATGTTCATGTTAAAAAGTAATGTGTGAAACTGACTGTAATCTGACCAATCAGAAGGCTACAGAATTGCCAACTTAAATTCAAATCGCTCCTCTTAGTTTAAAAACAGAGTATAGTAAACCAGTCTATAACATTCGTTATTTGTTGAAATAAAACGTTGCAGGTTCGCAGTAGGGATAGAATATATCCATTTTTTTGTTTTTACTTTGAATAGATTTAGGGAATAAATGCTCTTTAATTCTAACGGTATTTCATTATATAATTTGGGACCCAGGTAAGCATAACTGTTTTGCGCTATAGTTTTTTTGGCTTTAGGTATTACAACATTATTTAATTTATATCGAGTTGCGTGGTCATGACTTGCTGATAGTAAAGTGTGTTTGTCTTTACGTTGTTTTGTAATAATCATTTTTGGAAATAACTGATAAATATCTAATACTCCAGCTTCTTGATAAAGATCTATTGTTGGGTGAGTTCTAGGTCGGTGAAATATTGTTTTTAATATACTTCTTTTTATTTTCTGCAAGTTATTAATTAAAGTGGCACCTGCTACACCCCATGGTATTATACCGTATGAGAAATGACTTTCAACTAATGCATAGTAAAGAATTTTTAAATATCTCACATGGAGGAAAGTGGAAAGGTTTCTAAATTTATATAAGACGAATCTTAGCTTTTTTATAATATAGTTAATCTGTTCTTCCCATCGCAGATGTGAGTCGATATATATTCCCAAATACTTTATTTTATTTGTAGATTTTATAATAATAGTTTCATTTTCATAAAAGGGACAAGGAAAGTTTTTTTAAAATTAATTGTTAGTAATCTGCTCTCAAAAAAATTAGCGATAGTAGTAAAATCATTCTGAACTGTGCTTTTTAATTGCTGCCAGTTATTTCCTTCATAGAAAATGGCTGTATCGTCTGCAAAACTTACAGTATTACCGTTAATTTCTTGAAAAAATAAATCATTCAAATAAATATTGAAAAGTGTAGGACCTAATACAGTTCCTTGGGGAACTCCGTATTTAATTACCATAGGATTACTTACATCTCCTGCAATACGCACATATTGTGTTCTATCTGTGAGGTAGCTTTGCAATAATTTTGAAGCAAGTCTTCTGAGACCTATGTTTTCAAGAACAGATATTAATTTTTTGTGGTCTACCGTATCAATCGCCTTGGCTAAATCAATGAATATGGCTATGGAAGGATGTTTTTTCATCAAGGGAGTTATTTATTTTGCCAACCAAGTCGGCTATGGCATCGGACGTTGACATATTTTCTTGAAAACCATATTGATTTTTGAAAAGAACGTTGTATTTATTAAGAAACGATGTTATACGTTTTTGTAATATTTTCTCGAATATCTTAGCAATAGTGGAGATTAATGAAATTGGTCGATAATTAGAAGGTTTCAACTTATCGCCATTTTTATATTGTGGTAAAACTTCGGCTAATTTTAGGGATTTTGGAAATGTGCCGCTTTGAACGGAACGATTGAATAAGTAACACAGGATAGGTGCAATTTCTTTACTTACCTCTTTTAGATTTTCAGAACGAATTCCATCCCATCCTGGAGATTTATTATTTTTTAAGCGCATAATAGTTTCGATTATTTCAGTATTATTTGTTTCAGATATATATATTGTTTTAGCTATTGTTTTTTCCCTAACGGTATTGATGACTCGTTTTTTACTTTTTATTTCATCGGCCATTTTCTTTCCAACATTTGTAAAATACTCACAGAAGATATTAGCTATTTCCACTGGGTTTTGACTCACTATATTATTGGGTGTTTCAATTTCTATGATAGGCTTCTTTTGGTTTTGTGGGTTGGATATTTCTTTGACACACTCCCATAGTTTTTTATTAATATTTTTGTTTTTCTCTATTCTTTCATTATAATAATTACCCTTGACTTTTTTTATAAGAATATTTAAATTATTTCGATGCTGTTTAAATTTTGCTATATTTTCTGGAGAAAAATTAATTTTCATTAATTTATATAATCGATTTTTTTCATTTATTGATGTTATGAGAGCAGGCGTAATCCACACTTTACGTTTAATTTCGTTTCTCTTAATTTTCTTTGAAATTGTTGCTCGTTCAGTATATGATTTTATTTTACTTATGAATTTATTTATACCAGCATCTACATTAATTTCTGAATATATATCTAACCAATTTTCTTTATTTATTAAATATTTAAATTTTATTTTATCAAACACTATTTTAGTCCTTTCTACTGAGTTTTTTTTGTTTTGTTCCAGGCATAATAAAATGATTGACTACAGAATAGTGATCAGTTATATGTGTTTGTAGTATAATAGGAATATTTTTGTATGTTTTAATGTTTGTTTTCATAAATATATGGTCAATACAAGATTTTTCATTACCTAAAATTCTTGTATATTTGTTTATTAAGCTCTCAAAGCTTACTTCGCTTAATGTATTTAAGTAATCATGGGCATAATTCAAGTTATTATTCAAAATGTTTATGTTAATATCACCAGTTATTATATGAATGTCTGAATGTTTACATTGTTTTAAATGACGTCCATGTCTAGGTTCAGACGCACCAGGTGTCCATTCGGTGTTCGCCGATGCCATATTTGAATTCAGTGACCCAAAAACCCCCCTTTAACGATTTTCGGTTCGTCTTTTTTAATTGGGTCTGGAAGAACCTCAGTGAAGACGTTCAGAGCCAAGTTAGGGCACACCAAGTGTTCGGGGGGTCGTTTTCCACGTGAAATTCGATATTCTTTCGAATTTTGGAGGGCGCCCGAGTTGCGACCAATTCAGGTAGTTTTATATTACGCCCGACTTGCTAACGCACGAGTTGAGAAAGTACAATCCTACGGGCGAGATTGAATATAAAAAATTAATGTAACATTTCTGAATTTATAAAAAAAAATGCAAAATGTGTGGAAAATTTGAAAAATGCAACATTTTAATTTGTGGAAAAAAATGCAAAAAATGTAAACTGCATTTTTTCCGGTACTGGATAATTAGATTCTTAAACAAATTTCTTGGGTTTGTTTTGCAAAAGATTTTTTTGTCTTCTTCGTTTTCTTCTGCCACTTTTCTTTTAGTAGTTTCTAGGAGAATTCCACTATGGAAAAAAAATGCAATGAATGCAAAAAATGCAAACTATATTTTTCCAATCCTTGTTTTATTGAAAAAAAAAATGCAAAAAATTCAAACTTTATTTTTTCCGGTCCTTATTTTTTAATATACCTTCGCTTCCTTTATTACCAAAAATGGAACAACCCATGCAACCTAAGCCTGCTTACGTAACACTTGACGCCTCTTTACGAGTTTTTCTTCCCGAAACCTCCTACGAAATCATCTGACCTTCTCTCAAACATTCATCAATAATATAATAATAAATCAAATTTCTCAATTTTCCATTTTCCAAAATTCAAAGACGAAAATTTAAATTTAGTTCATTCATTGGTACAAAACTTGCGGTATAAAATTGTACCCGCATCAAAAACACCTTCAAACCTTTTAATTACCGATTCCTTTGATTGCACGAAAATTAGTTACACTTAAATGAAAGCGCTACGCTTCTAACATTTGCAACGACGGAGAATTTTCGACAACTTCACGTGCTTTCGACTCCTACTAACGTTGAGCGTGCGCCAGGATTCCAGCCTCGTGTTTCGTCTACTATAAAAGGCGAGGTAAACAAAGCGGAACTTCAGTTACAGCTTTCGTATCAGTTTGATTCAAAAGCTTTCGAGTTTATCGGAAAACGATGCCGTCAAGTGAAAATACTCTTGTGCTAATGTCGCTGGAAGCAGATAGTAGAAGTACATCGCCAATGACTCCTTCTCCGTCACGAGAAATAAAAGGAATAAGTTTGTTTCGTGCTATTAGTAGAAAATTATCCAGACGTTCAAATGAAGATCTTAATTACGAATCATCCAGCTCTGATTCCTGTTCATCAACGTCGATCGGTAGAGTTGGTAGGATAAGAAAAGAAACATCGGGCGACTCAGGATTTAGATCTGTATCACCGAATCAAATGTCTAGTAGTTCAAGTGAATCCGGTAGTGATATACAACAGCGATCCAGACATCATCATTCCACATCAGCGGAAAGTATCAGAAAAGTGTTCCAGAATTTAAATTTAAATATTCGTTCTCAAAGTTGTACTAATACTAAAGAGAAGCGGAAAACGAAGAAACCAGCACCGAAGAGGATTTTAAGACAACCAGTGAGTTATACTTACGCAAAAGGACTATCAGGACTTCCAACACAAAGAATACCAAAAAATTCCAGGATGTTCCAATCGTGTGGGTGCAGTATGCAATATGCACCTGGACGATAGTTGACTAATATTTAGTGCATTACTAGCAATATCAAATTCTCAGTGATTTATTCTATCTCAATAAGACTGTTAAACAGTTGTATTAACATTATCATAAATTGTAGTTAGATTTTTTATATGTTCAGTGTTCATTAATACTATGTATACTGTGTTAAAGGGACTCAAAAATGATCAGGATGATTTCGATTTTAAATCCAGTAGGTAAAGCACCTAAAATACTTTATATTAAAATATTTGAAAATGTATTTCTCCACCTAATTGTTACATTTTTTATACCTACTGTGCTTTATGAGATTTCAAACTTTTTGAACTAGTGCCTTGTAGTTTGTCCCTTAATAAAAGTGTATAAATTGAATTTGATTTATTATTAATCCTTTTTATCCTTACAGGTTTTCGTTTTTTTGTGGCAAAAACACAAAAGTCTAATGTCAATTTAACGAAAAAAAAATATTTACAGGTTTATTAAAATTTCAACTGAAAAAAAATGGTTGTTTATGTTTAAATAAAAACAGAAAGAATTGATGAAAATAATGTTGAATATTATATATATTCATTAATTTTTCTTTTTAAATTATTATTAATAGGAGTATTTACTTGGTTGTAGTTAGTATTAACCCACTTTTAAAGTTTATTTTTGATTTTTTCTAAAAGAACGAAATAGGTACGTGAAGATAAAGGTTAAATAAATATGTTTTCCTTTGGAAACACTTTTTCAAAATTTGATTCTATTTTTTCTAAAAAAAAAATTTAAATATCGACTTTTTCCTTATTTTCTCAATTTTTTTTAGAAAAACCTAAATTGAATAAGAAAATGTGATTCCAGAAGAGCACAGATTTAATCTTTACCTACACTTACTGGTTTTTTTCTTTTAAAAATAGTCAAAAACACACTTTAAAAGTGGGATACTACGAAATCTTTACATTGCAAGATTTTTTTGTCTGGGAAGTGGCGTTATATAATACGCAAGGGTTTCATAGTACACCAATTTTACGGATTATTTTTAATTTTAATTTTTATTGTAAGAAAAATTATGTAAGTCAGGTAAAGACTCAACCCGTACCCGTCTGAAATCAGTTTCTGAAAATTTGAATCGGTTTCTTTTGAAAAAAATCTAAAAAGATGTCTTTCTAACGAAAAGAAATACAAATAAAAATACTAGAAGGGAACAATTTATTTAATTTTTACCTAAAGGAACATTTATTTTTCTTAGAATTAAAAAAAAAATCGTTAAAAGCTTTTTCATCTAAAATGTAACACCAACAAAATGTATATCCTTTTCTACTATTATAATGATAATAATAATAAATGTCCTTATTATATTATTTATTATATTATAATAAAAAGAAAAATTACATTGATTATATAATTATTAGGGTGAGATTCAGTTTGTATGTAATAATTACAATACAATATGAAGAAGTATTAATTTATTAGTTAACATACATCTGCTCTTCCATGTAAACTGAAAAAAAAATGAAACAATAAATAAATAATTACATTAAATCAAATTAATAGAGAGGAATAAAAGTATAACTGTTAGTTAACCAAGGGAAGATATTTTAATCTGAATAGCGTATTTATTGTTGTGAAAAATAATAGTCAAAAAGAACTCGTTTAAGTTTATGTAGACTTTTGATTCATTCTGAATTTGGTTTTGTTACTGCCAGTCTAGATGGAATAAAAAAAAAACGAAACTCTATGATAGAGTTAAAATGTCCATATGGAGCTAGAGTGCTGACTGTAGAAAAAGAAATATCTAGTATAGAAAAGGAAAATACCATTAAACAGGACCAAAATTGGTATTTTCAAATTCAGGTCCAGCTACATATACCACAAATGGATTTTTGCATTTTGTGCTTTTAGACTTCTCAAGGAACAAGGACTAAAAGTGGAGAAAATTCCTTATAATGACAGCTTTTGGGAAGAATATATGCAAAACAAAATTTAAAATTTTTATATTCAATTTGCCTGACCGGAACTTGTTGATAGAGACATGGAAGTACGGGACAGATTACCAAATAAATGAGAAATTTTGGTTAATTTTTAATAACATGATGCTAGTAATCTTACATTATTTTAAATATGTTTATTAATTTAAGAATTACATTTTATTTATTTCTAAAATAACTTTCACTACTATCTACAGGGTGGTCCTTAAGTAATTGTACATAGAAGTATGGAAGATTCCTCAATTTAAAATAGTACAATTTAAACCAACTTGGTTTAATAAAATGTTGCTAATAAGGAATATACAGGGTGTTAAAGGTTAAATTTTAAAATTTTTTTTGCAACAACTTTAACGTTTTTAAATATGTATACATAAAAATTTGGAAATAGAGATTTTTTAGCACGAAAAATCATATTCTGGTACCTTCTTTGATGTAATTTGTAGAGGGCGCTACATAGGCTACATTTGTGGCATAAAAGTGCCCTAATTTTTTTTCTGCTTAAGTTAGCGGTATTTTTGTAAAAAAAATATTAAAACCACGTTATTTTAATAGAAGAAAAATATACCTGTTATTAACCTTAAAACTTAACGGTTTGCGATATAATCTCATCATTTTAGGGATTAGTTGTATGATTATTACTTAAAAAATTTAGAAAACAAATTAAAAAAAAAAGATAAATAACATTATAACTTTAATTGTGTCACATTAAATGTTCTATATGTCCTCCATTCTCGTCGATGCATTTATCTACATGTTTCATAAAAAATCGTCTCATATTAAGTTACATCATTGGATCTATTTATTTCTTCCCAAAGTAATAAATATTTATTTCGGGAACTATTAACGTAGTAGGCGGACGCCACGAATGATTTTGACAGCAAAGCATTCCATTTGTTTCAATATTATGTCAGTCTTGTAATATATAGTTTGCATTTATTTTGGTTAATTTAAAAAAAAGCAGAAAATGCCGAGGCATAATAATTATTCTAATACAGATATGATATGGTTGACTTTTTTTTGACTTTTTTTGATTGACTTACTTTTTTTACTTTTTTTACTTTTTTTTGACTTTTTTTTTTAATTTTTTTTTACTTTTTTTGATTTTTATTACTTGTTTTGACTTTTTTTACTTTTTTTGACTTTGGACTTTTTTTGACGTTTTTGACTTTTTTTGACGTTTTTGACTTTTTTGACTTTTTTGACTTTTTTGACTTTTTTGACTTTTTTGATTTTTTTGACTTTTTTGACTTTTTTTACTTTTTTTATCATTTTTTACTATTTTTTACTATTTTTTACTATTTTTTACTATTTTTTACTATTTTTTACTATTTTTTACTATTTTTTACTATTTTTTACTATTTTTTACTATTTTTTACTTTTTTTACTTTTTTTTGACTTTTTTTTACTTTTTGGACCTTTTTTTGACATTTTTTTTTTACTCTTTTTGACTTTTTTTACTTTTCTGACTTTTTTGACTTTTTTGACTTTTTTTGACTTTTTTGACTTTTTTGACTTTTTTGACTTTTTTGACTTTTTTGACTTTTTTGACTTTTTTGACTTTTTTGACTTTTTTGACTTTTTTGACTTTTTTGACTTTTTTGACTTTTTTGACTTTTTTGACTTTTTTGACTTTTTTGACTTTTTTGACTTTTTTGACTTTTTTGACTTTTTTGACTTTTTTGACTTTTTTGACTTTTTTGACTTTTTCTTTTTTTACTTTTTTGACTTTTTGACTTTTAATAATTTAGGATTTTTTTAATATCAACATATCTTAACCTATTTTTAATCAGATTTTTTTAAAAACAATAGGCTGTATAGAACTTGTTTTTTCGCTTAAAATTTTCAAGTTGATATCACTTTTCGTTTTTGACTTATCGTACAGACAAAAAACGTGACATTAAACAGTAAACCTACATACAGTATGGTTCAAATGAAAGGAATAAATTCATTATAATGGAAGTAGTTGGTTTTTCGAAAAAATGCTCGGACAGGTCAATTTTGTTTACTTAAAGCGCAATTTTTTAATTAAAATTCAATTTTCCCCCACTTCCCATTTTTGGACAATGACGTCATTGACAATTTTTTTAAATAGTAACCCCAATTTTTTTTTCTTGATTTTGATAGATCTTGCAATTTCCTACTCAGAAACATAATATTTGTAATATCTGACATAACAATTTTTTTTTAATAAAAGTCATTTAAAGATCAGATACATAAATTTTATTTTATTTTGAAACACAATAAATGAATAAAAGATTATTTGTAATTAAGTGCTTCATCTAAAAAAAAATAATAATAATAATAATAATAATAATAATAATAATAATAATAATAATAATAATAGTAATAATAATAATAATAATAATAATAATAATAATAATAATAATAATAATAATAATAATAATAATAATAATAATAAAAAGAATTTAATGACAATTTCACAAATTCTTTTTTATTATTATTATTATTATTATTATTAATAGTATTATTATTATTTTGTTAGATTAGGCACTAAATTAAAAATAATTATCTTTTTTTTACTACTAACATGAGAAATCACCATTATTTACTCCATTCCTCTAATGAGAAGTAATATTTCTCTCCCTAGGTAAATAATGATAATAAAAAAAAACCTAGGTAAATAATGAAACTAAATTTCATTAGTTTCATTTTGCTAATTTGACAACTAAACTCCCAGACTACTTGATATTTTGAAATATTTGAAAAATAAGTAGGAAATAACTAAAGCTGGGTTTATTAAAATCTAATCAAATCAAATATGATAATATATATCAGTGTTAATAGTAAAAATATATATTAACTAGGACTTTAAAAATTATTAATTAATAACAATAAATCCATGTCATTAAAATATCAAAAATGCAATGGGATATTTCCTAGAATCATACCAAAATTTGACACATGCCAAATTTTTACATAAATAAAGCCAGTCTGATTAGAAACACGCTCCAGTCTGCTTGATATTTCGAAATATTTAACAAATTGTTAGGAAATTACTTATGTCAAAATTAAAATTGCTAATACATTAA